AGTCTCAGCATTAATTTAGCAGTGCTTGAAAACACCAAGAATACATGTTGGAAGTGTTATAAACATTCCACAAACTATTATTGTGAAAGATAGAACTTAAGAACACCACTCAGACATTCCTGTCATAATCAGTTTATTCAAGAGCTGACAATTTTATGCTCTTGAATTGACTTCCATAAAAAAAAAAAGGTTGATCTCTTGTTATAAGTCACTCTAGTAAAACTACTCTACAGTCTTTTTAGCATGTCACATTCTCCACTTTAGTCTTGCTATTGAGTTGGTTCACAGCTATATTAAATGTGTAATCCTAATTGATCACTCAAATGCATTACTTTGTCAATTTACCAATTGATTTAACCTATTTTGAAAAGCTTAAACATTTCCAATACAGTTATTAGTACCAGCAAGTTTAATGCCATTAAGAAACTTTACTAATTATGCCTCCTATCAATACTGGATTTATCAAACCCAGTTTTGGCATTATACCCTCAGTGGGTAGAGTATAGATAGCCCATTAGCTAGCTTTTCACTTACCAGCAAAAGTAATGTCTTAATTACTTGGATAGTTGGAGAAATTGGAACACTAATTTTGATTAATTGATTATTGTTGTGACACTAATTTATGTTATTGTTGCTCATAAGCTAAATTGTCCAGCTCTACAAGTAATTGTTTTATTTTTAAAGACAGGCCCGTGTTTCTTGCATACAAGTGATGAAAGCATTTCTTATACTTACAAGGAAATATATTTAAAACTATATAAGTATTACTGTAACCTACAGTTAGAAGGAAAGTTTACCAGTAAAATTTTAAAGGTTTATTTACTTTTATGAAATGGTTTTAGTAATTCATTAATAGGTAAAAGAAATGTCCAGAAAAATGGTAAAATAATTTTGTTTTTGCCAACAGTATTGGGTGTTGACCTGACATTTTAAGTAGTTTTTGCTGGTCTCTATTTTTGGGTTTGTAGTGTCTTCAGTTTTCAATCTACAAAAGTTAAGTTTTGAAAATATATCTAAAATGTTTTGAGTATCAAGACTTTTTCTTTGTTCTAATCATCATCAATAAAGGGGTGAGTGTCTAGAAGAATGCTCAACTTTGTTTGTCTGCAATTTTGCCTTTCAATGTAGATGACATCATTGGTGTCTTAAAAGTTATGAAAGGAGTTGCTTGGTAGTTTCAACTTTCTAGGTTTCTGTATATGAGAACAAACAAGATGACTGCATTAATTCTGAGCTGATTAAGAAAAAATTAAGAAGTTTAAAGAATAAGGCTCCTGGGCCAGATATTATTTCCCAAAGGGTTTTGAAGGAGGTTAAAGGTTGGATATGTGAGCCACTTGCTACTATTTTTTTGTCAGTTCATCAATAGTGGGCAGGTACCAGAGGATCGGAAGTTAGCTGATATCACTCCTCTTTTTCAAGGGAGGTGATAAAAATTGTCCCAGTAATTATAGACCCATTAGTCTAGCAGTTGAGAAACGTTTTGGGAAGTCTGATAAAAGATGCTTTGTAAAGTCATTTAACAAAGTTTAGAATTCTATTGGATAGTCAACATAGTTTCACTAAGGGAAAATCTTGCCTTACAAATCTTTTAACATTCTTTGAAAAGGTTACTGCTTATGTAGAGGAGGGTAAGGGTGTTGATTTGATGTATATGGATTTTTAGGAAGTGTGTGACAAGGTGCCAAATAAAAGGCTTGTAAAAATTATCTCTATAGGTGTGGGGAATAAGTTAGTAACTTGATAGTGGCTGGATGGAAGAAAGCAGAGGATTGTTATAAATGGAGTTCAACCAAATTAGATTAATGTCATAAGTGAGGTACCTTAGGGCTCAGTCTTAGGACTTTTGATCTTTTTGATTTACAATAATGACATAGATAAAGGAATGGTCAATAAATTGCTTAAATTTGTAGATGATATTAAGGTCTTGGGTGTAGCTAGTTGTGAAGAGGATGCTGCTGAGTTACTAAAGGATTTAGATCATTTAGTGAGTTGGGCAAATAAATGACAAATGGGTTTTAATTATAATAAATGCAAGATAATGCATGTGGGTTATCATAATTTGGATGGGAATAACCTTAACATTGTCATGAAAGAAAGAGATCTTAGTGTAGTGGTTGATCATTCTCTAAAGCCAAACAAGCATTGTGCTGTTGCTAGTGGTAGGACAAATAGGATTTATGTTGTATCTACAGGAATATTGAATACAAGTCTAAAGAGGTTATAACTTCATTGTACAGGTCAGTGGTTAGACCACATTTGGAATATTGTTTAGCCTTGGGCTCCTTACCTTAGAAAAGACATCAAATTGTTGGAAAGGGTTCAGAGAAGGGTTATTAGAATGGTGCCTTGGGTGGAGGGATTGTCATACAGGGTAAGGTTGGTATCTTAAATTGTTTTCTCTTGAAAAAAAGAAATTTAGGGTGTGTGTGTGTGATTGAGGTGTTTAAGATTGTAAAGGGAATTGATAGTGTTGATGCATCATCATTTTTCATACTTAACAGTGAGAATAGTAGGATTAGGGGACACAAATATAAATTTTGGTAGGATAGGAATAATCTTCAGCTAAGACAGTTTTATTTTTCTAACAGGGTGGTTGGCCTTTGGATGTTGCAGAGGCAGTAAATTTAAGCAAGTTTAAGAAAAAGCTTTAAGTATATGAATGAAAAGGGCTGCCTTTAAGATAATGTTTTTAAATTTATCAATTAATAGTTTAGTTTAGAGGATGAAACAGCTGATATTGACCAAGATGTTCCATGTTGTCCCAAAACGTTCTGTTATGTAAAAACTGGTTAACAATAATTCGGCAGGCTAGATTTGTACATTGTGATTTGAGAAAGTGAAGTAAAAGCTTCAGATCTTTTCGATTTGGTACCCACCAGCAGAACTTTGAAGGTTACTTTCACTGACATGAAAATGTAAATCATGGTAAATTTTGTAGATCCTGAAACTTGCAGCCATACCCAAAATATTTAAAGTATGGGGCACAGTTTAAAGCGAAGAAATAAGTACTAATGCGGAACTCATTGCCAAATGCTAGACTCTCGTCTTTGTGGAGAAATAGAAACAAAGATGAAGATCTATTTAAGAAAATGTTTATCGCAAAGTTTGCTAAATAAATATCTTATAATGTTTTGTTAAGTATTTTATTGCATTACTGGTGTTATTTTCAAAATGATTTGTTGGTGGGCACCAAATGGAAAAGAACCAAAACTTCATTTATGAGCATTAAAATTTTTAATTTGTATTTTCATATGGAATAAAATAAAGTTTGATAATCACTTTGCAGTATGGTATATTTGAAATTGGTTCTGTATTAATAGTAAAGAGGTCCAGAGAAGTACAATCTGGTGGCTATTAACAATATTAACCACTGGATACTTACTTGGGCAGAGAGAGTTTCGGAAGTGGTGTGTATGGTGAAGGAAGTACATTTCCTTGACCAAAGAAAATCTGATAACATTTATTAAAGCTTGAAATATATATAATTCACTGATGAAACGTTGTCCTCTTCACTTGTGTCTCTACAACAGACAGCTGCCGTCCATTCTATAAAGTTTTGTCATGAATACTCTGCCTAAACAATCTATCAAAGAATAATTTACTGTTAAGACTGATCAAGCAGAGTGAACCAGTGAGTGTATATGTTCACATATGTTGCATTAATATTAACTGTTTGGTCCTTTAAGGCTATCTTTGTACACCTATCTTTTAGAAAGTAAATTAATATAATTACCCATCCATTATTTCTATAGAATTTGTTGATTCCACTCTTTAAACTCCTGTAAGGTGCTTGTCTCCACTACTGATGATTGCAACTCATTCCACAAGTTAATCATCCTTTTAAACTGTAACTGTCTTTTCATCATTTTAAACTATTGTCCTATCATCATGTTGTCTTTAGAATACACTACAAAGAAGTCATAGGCCTTTATCCTACAAATCCTGCAGATATTCTTATAAAGATAAGAATCATACCAAGATTATCTTAACTATAATATGCTGAGGTTTCAAGAAGAATGTAGTGTATATACACAGTAAATTTCAATAAAATGTAAAATAACGGCACTGCATTTCTAAAACTGAGGTGTAACAAGGCTTAATTGTTCCAATTACAAAGTTTTTTTTTTGTGTAATGCAATGTTTTTCATATCCACTACTCTAAACATTCTTGAAAAAGAGAAATGACAAAAAACTGGTTGCATATATCCAAAGGAATTGGGAATTTGGTAATAAGGAGTGAATTTGGTGTTTCGTTAGGCCATGCTCTCCATTTGAGAATTTTGATGTTAGCATAAAAATAACTATCAGAGTAGCTGCATAGCTATAGATACAACAATTAAGGGTTCTGCTTAACATGTAAAACAACACTGAATTGTCAGGAATAACATCTTGAAAAGTGCATATAGTATCGCTGTAACAGTGACTGATAAGTGGATAAACCTTTTCATTATTTCTAAATGTTAAAAATTACACAAACTTAATGTATAGCTTTATATCCAGTATACCATACACCACTATGTATGTTGGTGATGTTTAGATGTAGGTGATGCATTACTGTTTGCATGTTAACTTAGTCTCAAATATTTATTTGTAAAATTACATTGGATATAATGTGCAAAATGTAGGCAACTGTGACCTGTAAATAAGATTCCTGTTCCTGATTTTATTAAGACATTGTAATCCTTTTACATAAGAAAATACTTCTCATCTTAGTAGCCTCTAAATCCTTTCCAATAAGTTGATATCCTTTACAAAACTTTTACGTAAGCAAAGCCTAATTGATGACTTGTATAGAAGTAATTACCGCTTATGGCTTGTAGTTGATGTCTGTAAGTACATTAACAAAAATTTGAGGATCATTTAAAAAGGTAATTACTGGCTATTTTTACAGTGAAAAGTTGTGTGCTTCAGAAATTTGTTAAATGTTTTTAGATTTAATTGTATGTTCCTTTTGTTTTCTTTTTGCGGAAAGTTGTTGAAAATTTTCTTTTATGTAGGAGAATTTGGTTAATCTGTGAAAAAACTTCTGGAGTTCTTGAGTTTTACATCATGGAAGAAATAGGAGATGCAGATTCCAAACCTGGGAAGACAGAGTATCTTGTCTTTGAAGACACTAACTATGCTGTTCAAACATTGTTGAACCTGAATAAGCTGCGGAAAAACAAGCAATTCTCTGATGTTGTTCTGCAGGTATTGTTTTTCTGTGGTCTAAATGGTGCAAGTATTTCTTGTATCTGTGAAGAAATATTCTTAAAACAACATTGGATAAGTATTACTGAAGCCTATAATTTGAAGAGAAAGGATTGTGCTAGTAAATGCTTTTAGTAACTCTGTATACTTCTGTTCTGAAAATGTATATACTTTCATTACATATTCGATCTACTTGCAAGACTTGCGTTAAAGCCCATTTTTGGTGTACAATCTAGTGGCTGTCAATTTTGTAACCATTAGATGTTAACCTGGGCAGAGAAATGTTCAGAAGTGGTGTGTATGGTCAAGGAATATTAAGTATTCTTGACCAAAGATAACCTGATAACATGAATCAATGAGCTGTACACTGTAATAAGTAGCCATTTAACTCTTTCAACCTGGGCTTGGTCCCTAGGACCAACCTCTTAAACATTTTGTGCTTGTTTTAGTTTTCATGCTATAACTTTTAAGTTAGTAAGCATATGTTAACGAAATTTGGCAGTTTATCAGTAAACATCACAATGCTTTCATATACAATATCTATTTTTTTTTTATTAAGTCTTAAATTTTGTAAAGCAATGTTTCTCTTATGCCTTTTTTTTTCCTTTTCACTATCTTTCTATCTATCATGCAAAGTAAT